GTGTGTATGTGTGTGTGCGTGTGCCCAAGATCCCAAGAGAATACTGGAGGAGAAGGAATAGAGGGTGGCCATTCTCCCAGGGGGGGAGATTTCTCTCTTCTCTCTTGTCTCTCTGGTGAGCACACTCACTATATAGCAAAAATCTCCCCCCACAAAAAAAAAAAAAAAAAAGAAAATGAAGAATATATTAATATCCTTGATTCGATTATTATACACTGCATGCATGCTTTGAAAATCCATGTTGGGGACCAGCAGATGGCATAATGGTTATGTTTTTGGACTCCTACATAGTAAACTGCCATTCAAGTCCTGGACTCGGTGGCTTGAAACTCACACCAGGTGTGTGCGCATGCATGCCCAAGATCCCGAGAGGAGAATAGAGAAGAGATTGTGGTGTGTCCATTTCTCTGGTGATTTTTTGCTTTCTGCCTCTCTCCATCTCTCTGGCAAGCACATGAGCCCTATGGCAAAAATCTCTCTTAAAAAAAAAAAGAAAATCCACATTGTACCCACGAAGATATACATCAATTAAATGGATTTCCAGGGAAGTCATGAAGCATTTTTGCACAGAAAAACAGAAAAATACATCATGACTTCCCCAGCGATCTAACATCTACGCGATGAACCACGGCAATAGGCGCCATTAGGAACTACACCAGGAAGGGCTGCAGGACGCCAGAGCAGGGACTGGGGTTCATTTCTGAGCTGTTGGTGTCTTGGCCCCTGTGCCTGGCCGGGCTGGGAGATGAGGATGGGGCTACTGGAGCAGTCTCGGCCAGGCCTGTGCTACAGGTTTCATCTGCAAAGGCAGGATACGGGGAATGCAGAGAAGGGAGGTGGTGGAGCTTCACACCCCAGAGCCCTTATTCAGAGATTAGTGCAGGAAACGCTGAGGATCAGACTTTTTAAACAATAATTATTTAACTTTATTTATTGATTTTAATTTGACCAGAGAGGGACAGAGTGGGGAAGTGTTTAAAGTGAGAAAGTAAGCTGCCAGGCCTGGGACTCGAACCATGTGGAAGTCCAGCGTCCTTAACCACCACGCCGCCTGCTAGCCCCTGAGGGTCAGATTTTAATTAGAGTTTTTGTTTTTGTGGGTTTTTTAAATATCCAGGGCCAAGCAGCAGGTAGGTGGTGGTTAAGGTGCTGGATCCCTCAAGGTCAACTGCTTGGTTCAAGTCTCAGATTCAGGGCCTTGAGAAACACACCAGGTGCACGTGTGTGCCCAAAGTCCCGGACAAAAGGAAAGATGGAGGAGAAGGGATTGCTTTGTGACAGTTCCCATGGGGGAGAGGTTCCCCTTTCTGTCTCTCTTACATGTGCACTCTGGCAAATTTTGAAACAAAATTCTTTGTCAGGCAAATTCCCACCCCTGTATGAATCAGCTCATTCCTGGTGGGAAGTCTCTTTGCTCCAGAGAATATCAGCAATGAAAATTTAAAAAGGATTATTTTATTTTTCAGAGGTTTTTGCTATAGGACACATGTGCTCACTGGAGAGACAGAGAGACAGAAAGTAAGACATTACCTCCCCAGGGTGGGATGGCCACGTGGCAATCCCTTTTTCTCCATTTTCCTTAGAATTTTTGGGCACACATGCCTGGCGTGAGTTTTAAGTTGCTGGGTCCAGGATGCGAACTGTGGTCAACTACGTGGGAGTCCAGTGACATAACCATTATGCCATCTGCTGGTCCCATACTTATTTAAATTTATTTATTATTATTATGATATATATTTTTAATTTGCAGTAGGGCACATGCACTCACCAGAGTGACAGAGAAGTGAGAAAGCAAGCTGCCAGGTCCAGGACTCGAACTGCTATCAGCCATGTGGGCAATGCAGATTTTAACCTCCCAGGAGGAACTGCGAGGGGGGAGTCCTAGAGGAACACTTGCAGTGGCTCCACTTCCTCTCACTGTTCCTGATTATGGGTGGGTCCCCTTTGGGAGTTGGGGAGGTAAGATGATACTGGTTTCTATTGGGTCAGGTTTCTCGGTGGGGGAGCTCAAGTGCACTTAAGCCAAAATACACAACTCGCTCTGGCTGGAGCTCAGCCCCACACTGCTCGCTCTGGCTGGAGCTCAGCCCCACACTGCTCGGGGCCTTTCTGCTCTGTGAACTCCCAACGGGTGCCTCAGGCCTTGCCCTCGCTCCACCCAGAGTGCTCTTCCTCCACTCCAAACCCGCTGCTTCTGCCCATGTCCTTAATTCAGATGTTGCCTCCTCGCCATCTCCCTGAATTCCATTAGCTCCCCATGACCCTCCATTTGCTTTTCCTCCTCCTCCTTTCTTTAAGAACTAGCTTATTTAACTTTATTTATTATTATTTTCCAATTTGATCAGAGAAAGAGAGGAAGGAAAAGTGAGAAAGCAAGTCACCAGGTCCGGGATTCAAACCTTAGCTGCCCACGTGGGAGTCCAGCACCTTTAACTACTGCACCACCTGCCGGTCCCCCCTTTTAAGAGGTTTTTGCCATAGGGTGCATGCACTCTAAAGAGACAGACACAGTGAGAGGGAAAGTGAGAAATCACCCCCCAGGGGAGAAGGCCATGCCGCAATCCCTTCTCCTCCATTCTCCCAGGATCTTGGGCACTCATGGACACACGCCCACCATGATTTTCAAGCCATTGGGTTCAGGACTCAAACCACAGCCGGCCATGTGGGAGCCCAGCGCACAGTGCTATGCCACCCCCCAGTTGCTTCCTTCATAGCACTGTTTGGGGCTTGCAACTTTTGTCTAATGCCTGTCTACCCCTCTGTCAGAAAGGCAGGGACGGCACTTGTCTGCTCCTGGGGGTGTCCTCGGCACCCACCACCTGCTGGCAGAGGGTACTCAGTAAGTACTGGGATGTGCGGCCCTCCCACCCTCCCTGCTTCCCTCCCACCCTCCCTGCTTCCCTCCCTCTCCTTCCGTGTATTAAGCTGAGAAGCAGGAACAGTGGCCGGGCTTCCTCCAGCCTGGGAGGGCAGGTTAACATTGCGATACAAGGTGGGAGGTGTCTCCGCTCGCGTTTCCCAAAGCCCGGCCAGTTCAGTAACAGCCTCAGTGAACGGCTGGGTTTCTTTCTCACAGATCCTGGAGAAAGTAATGACAGCAGCCTGCTTCGTGCTGGGCTCCCAGCCCACTGCATCTCCACCAAGCACACAAAGAGATTCTCCCCGTTTGCTTCTTAATTTTTAAATTGGATTTTCTGGGACTGGCTCAGGGAAAGTGAATTAGAGCGGACATCTGAGTAGGTGTCGTGCTGTATGGGAGTAGCCAGGCGTGCTGAGTCAGACCTGGGCTCAAATCGCGGTGCCAGATGTCCAAGCTGAGTGGCCCTAAGCGAATCCTCACCCTCTCTGGGCATTTCAGCTACCGTAAAGTTAGAGTAATAAGAACCTTGGCCCAAGACACCTATTTTTATTTTAAATTACTATATTTCATCATAAAGAGCTTCTGAAGGCCAAAGCCCAGAGGCCAGTTCAAGACTTGCCGTTCACCATGTAACCTTGGGCAAATCGCTTCTCTTTTCTAGGCTGTTTACGCACCTATAAACCATGTGTGCAGGGTGATGACTAACAGACAACTAATGGATAGATCTGGACTCAGCACAAAGTAGGCACTTCTTTTCTTTTTAAAGAAATTATCTAGCTAATTTTATTTATCATTGTTATTTTTTAATATACTACAGGACACATGTGTGTGTGTGTGAGAGAGAGACAGAGAAAGTGAGACAGCAAGCCACCACGTCCAGACCTTGAACAGTGGCTGACCATGTGGGAGTCCAATGCCTTAATCACCACGCCACCTGTTGGCCCCCAAATATTTCTAACAAACAGGCTGTATGTCAGGTAGTGAGCTCCCCATCACTTCCAGGGCATTCTGTGAACACCAAGACAGGGCGAGTGCAGGACTCAGAGACAGCGTAACCACGTCCACAGGAGCTGAGGGTTCCGTCTGCCTACCTGCGCCCCCACTGGCTGCTGGGATGTGGCGATCACAGATTACTAGCAGCACCTGGGCACTGGAGACACGCCCTGGCTTCAGCCTTGGGCCTGCCAGTAACTAGCTGTGACCTTGGCAAAGGAGAGCAGCCACTGGCAATGCCCTGTCCCTAGCTCCTTGATGTGCCAAAGGTTCTTCCAACACCTCCAGCTCTGTCTGAGGACTTTTTCCCCCAGTGAGCAGGGAGTGGACAAATGCCCAGCCCCTCCCCTCACAGGGTAACTCTGGGCATGTACTGCGTCCAGGCTCCAGGTGGGCTTAAGCAGCAGTTCCCCCGCTGGTACCTTCTCTGACCCACTTCCCCACTCCCCTACAGGGTTCCCAGGGACCACCCCTAAATTAACTAATTGCACTTAAATCCTTGTCTTGGAGAACCCACATAGAGACAGAAGTTACTTAACCTCAGTGGGAAGGACGAATGAGCGAATAGAGACAGACTGTCACAAGCATGCCTGGCAGAATGTGTTTACTAAATGAAAAACAAAGAGAGGAGGAACCTCTAATCACACCAGACTCCACCCCCTCCCAGTCTACCCTCCTCAGCAGACACAGATCCCAGGTGATAAAACAATCTTGGAAGCACACACACACACTCAACCCAGGGCTTGCCTTTCCCACCCCTGAGGCCTGGGCCGACAAGCCGGGTACACGTCTGTTGCGCGGACTGCCCAGCCCAGGTCCAGCCGTAGGACATGCACTGTTCTCTTCTGGTTTTCTGTGGCCACCAGCCACGGCGTCCACTGGGACTGGTCACAAGGTATCTGGCTTGCTTCTTCTGGGGCTCCCACACATAACAGCAGCTTCCAGTCTTACCGCTGTGCATGGGTGCCTGGCAGCAAGCTGTCGCTCCCTGGTCATGATTTTTCATGGCCTCCTCTGTCTTTGTTTTTGATTTTGAGAGAGATTTTTTGTTATACGGTGTTTGCGTTTGCTGGAGAGATAGGAAGTGAGAAATCACCGACTGGAGGGGATGGCCAACACTTCAATCCCTTCTCCTCTATTTTCTCGGGATCCTGGGCACACACGCACACATGGCCAGTGTGAGCTTTAAGTCACTGGGTCCAGGACTCGAACTACGGTCGACTAGTGGGAGCCCAGCAATGTAACCATTATGCCACCTGCTGGTCCCCATGGCCTTCTCTGTGGCCTCCGCTTGACGGGGCACCTCCCGACACCTCCAGCATGGACACAGGAAGTGCTGCTGATTGCACGGGCAGCTCCAGGTGGAGGAGCTGTTTCCTATCAGTTCCCCAAGGCCTCACAAGTCATCCTCTCATTGGCTTCAATAGTTTCTAGGCTCAGCTTCCAGAGGTATGGAGGCAGCTGACTCCAAGGACTGGGGTCAGACGTGGGCACCTGATGGTGGACAGAGCACGCCTGCGGCAGGACGATAGGGACAGTCCTCTCAGAAGCTGTCGGTGGAGTGGAGGATACTCGTGCCTAAGTCGAGGTGCCCAGGGACCTCATGATTCCTGGAAGTGCCTGCTGGGGGCACAATGCCAAGTGGCCGCCACTCCTGAGGGATGAGGCCAGGCCAATGTGAAGGCCAGGTCCAGTCCCTGTAGCCCACTGCCCACCTTCATACCTCAGTTGTCTCTTGGAAATATGCCAACCTGGCTGCCTTCCAAGAGGAGGCATTTCCCAGGCAGGATTAGCTCCAGTCCTTGCCTGTGGGCTTCACGAGGGCACCACCTAGGAGGCCCTGGTGCAACTGGGCCCTGTGGAGACCAGGTCCCCCATTTTGGGGGTCTGGATTGAGCCCTGGGTATTGCCAGGGGCAGGCTGGAAGGATAGGGAGGACTTACCCTCCGAGAGGTCCAAAGGTGCCAGGGAGGCCAGTGGAGTCCCACCTCCAGAGAGGACCAGGGCCCTCAGGGGGCTCTCTGGGGGTGAGGACCTGTCTCCACACCGGCAGCCACAGCAGGGGCTGGCCACATGCACCTGGCCACCTTCCTCCTGGCCATGGCACTGCTTCAGGTGGCCGCATAGGTGGCAGGTGAGGGCTGAGTAAACAATGCCACTGCCCAGGTCATCCCTGAGGGCATCTGTGGCCTGCTCTGGGGACAGCAGGGGCTTCTGCCTGCTGTCTCCCTTACCCATGGGCTCTGGGCCGAGGTGGTCTGGGGAGCTGCTGGGGAGGAGTGAGTTCTGAGGGCTCTGAGGCGGCTCCAGGTCCAGTCCAAAGGAGAACAGAGGGACAGAGACTGAGACTGCGTCCCCAGGGCAGCCAGGGAGGTTCTGGAAGGGCTTGTAGCCCCCTTCCCCACTGCTGACCCCACATCCAGGGGTCCCTGGGGCCCCAGCACTGCTAGCAAGCAGGCTTGAGAAAGCCTTGTACCCAGCGTCTCCGGGAGGGCTGCAGCCTGCCCCTGCACCATAGGGGGTGCTGCCCTGCTCCACTGCATGCGTGAACTCGCGGTAGCCACTGGCCGGGGCTGAGGCGGGGGCTGAGGCTCCCCTGTGCTGGAGGACACTCTGGCGGAGAATCTGCTCCCAGGTTTCAGGCTCAGGCTGGACCATACTGGTTGCCTCAGAGGGCTGGGGGACACAGGGGATCTCGGGGTCCACTTCCTCCAGGTGTGCGGCCAGCTGGAGGTCTGGGCCAAGTTCTCCGGGACTTGGGGACTGGCTGAGGGAGCTGCTGAAGCTGCGGTAAGCAGGGTTGTCTGCGATGACCACGGGCATCTCCGTGCCAGTCAAGCCGGTGGGGCCCTGGGGCAGGCTGGCTGGAGGATCTGGCTCCAGGTCGAAGGGCTGCTCCTCACCCTGCGAAAATGCCTGCTTGGGTCCTGCCCTGGGGAACTCAGCCCAGGGCATCTGAGCGTGCGCGCTCCCTGACGGCGGAATAAGGCACAACTCTCCCAAGCCCTGCTGGCCAGGGTCATTGTCCTTGTCCCCGAGCAGGTCCAGGAACAGGCTCTCTGTCAGCCTGGCCACAATGCCCTCTCTCCCGTCCTGGAAGCTGCTCCCACTGCCCTCCAGCGACGTGCAGAAGCTCCCTTCGTCCTCCGCTTCCTCCTCCTCGCTCTCCACCGGGGCCTCAAACAGCTCCACGCTCTGCACCACGCTGATGCTCTCGGGCCAGAGGACCGTCTTGCTGACCTCCACGGGGCGCCACGCTGGCTTTCCAGGGCCCTGGAAGGGCCTGTTCCTGGGAGCCTTGGGGGCATCCTCATCCCTTTTCACGCCGTGCTCCAGCAAACAGGGCAGGAGCTTTGTAAGACAAGTCTTCCAGTGTCTGCGAAGGCCGAGAAATGTTTGGTCAGCATTCAGTTTCGACATCTGAAAAACCCATTTGTCCCTCACGGTCAGTGTGGAATCACGCTGTACTAACGAACGTCTGTCTACCGCAGACATGCCCCGTCACTTCACAATCAATACTCTCTCAGTCTGTCTTCACTGCTAGACCAGAAACTTCTTGAGGGGAGGGCATGTTTTTCTCCCTTCGGGATCTCTGGAGCCTTGTGTCTCATATAAACCCAGCCTACGGAACACATAAAATCTGGAAAAAGGGCTTGGAGCCCCCTTCCCCTCTGCTGGCCCCACATCTAGATGTCCCCGGGGCACCAGTACTACTAGCAAGCAGGCTCAAGACGGCCTTGTACCCAGCCTCTCCGGGAGGCCCACAATCATGCCTTCTTCCATCTTCAGGGAGCGCAGACGCTCAGGCGCCCTGGCTGAGTTCCCAAGTGCACGACCCAAGGAGGCATCTACCTGGGGCAAGGAGCAGCCCTTTGACCTGGAGGCGGAGGGATGCTTGCTGTATATCCTGCTTGCTGATATTAATATGAGGGGTGATATGGATACATGTAAGTACATATACATATTCCTAACTATACAGATGTATATAAATATATGTTTATACATTTTATCTATAGCTATATATTTTTAATAATTTCCCAGAGGGCACATGCGCTTATGTTGGAGGGCGTAGCAGGTGCAGAGGGAGAAAGAAAAAGCACTTTCTGGGACCAGCAGTTAGCGTAATGGCTATGTCACTGAATTCCCATGTAGTCGACCACAGTTCAAGTCCTGGACTCGGTGGCTTAAACTCACGCTGGGTGCATGTGTGTGTGTTTGTGTGTGTGTGTGTGTGCCCAAGATCCCAAGAGGGGAATGGAGTATAAGAAATTGCGGCGTGGCCATCCCCCCTGGGGGGTGATTTCTCACTTTCTGTCTCCCTGTCTCTCTCTGTCTTTCTGGCGAGCGCACGTGCCCTATAGCAAAAACCTCTCCAAAAAAAGAAAAGAAAGAAAAGGAAGGAAGGAAGGAAGGAAAAGAAAAGAAAAGGAAAGGAAAGGAAAGGAAAGGAAAGAGCATCTTCTAATGGGGCAGCCACGCTGCAATCCCTTCTCTTCCATTTCTCCTTTTGGAATTTTGGGCACACACAAGCACTCACTGTTTCTCAAGCCTCTGGGTCTGGGATTTGAACCACATGGTTGGCCATGTGAGGTCCGGTTCCCTTAACTAGACTATGGACTGGCTCAATGGTGATATTTAAAAGCAACACCCTACCCTAAGTCCTGATCCATTAGAATGGAAGTGGGGTCCTTGGGCTGCAGCAGGGGCCCCCTGTGTCAGGTATAAACCCTTCAGTTACTGGACTGCGGGCAACTCCAAGAGTCCCCGAGAGAGGGGCTAAGGAGGCCAACGTGGTGGTGGCGGCACCCTCGAAGGTTCAGGATAGCAGCTATTTGCCTGCAAGTATTCCTTTTTTACAAATAGGTAAAACTGCCACAGTTGCCCTGGTTGCTAACTCTATCGTCCTTGCTCAGGCCAGGCTTAGCCTGCAACCCACCTACCTGGGCTTCCCCTCCACCTGCCACACCTCAAAGCCACATGCCATGGGGACAACCGTGAAATGCTAGGGAAGAGAAGGCAGCCATGGAGGGGTGACCCAGAGCCCCAGTTGTACCGCCTTCCAAAGCCATGCAGACCATGGCCTAAGTTCAGACACTTACGGGCACTTTGCTGGTTCCTGGCCTCGGGACCGCCTCTCCCACAGCGACATCTACAACAGAGGCAGCCAATGAGTCAGAGCAAGTGGCGTCCTAGCCTGGCCTGATGTGCAGCCATGCTCAGGAAAGGGCTAAGTCTCGACGTCACACATCACATGGCCTGAAGTCCATAACGGTCACTTAAGCCGAGTCTCAGTTTCCCGGGAATTGAGACTGCCCTGGTATGCCCCCCCCCCCGCCAAACACACACACTTTAAAAGCCAGCAGGTGACGCGGCAGTGTGCACAGCTCTGCGATGCCGGCCCACACAGGCCCAGGTCTGTGTGCTGAGGCCTGTATACATCAGGGTCTGTGATCCAGGCTGGGGTGGACAGCAGAGTGAAGACCCTATTGGGGTTGTCTGTTCCCCAAGCCCCTATGGAAAAGAAAATTTTCTTTTTAAGTTTATTTCTTTAGAGAGAGAGGGAGAGAGAGAGAGGCTCCCTGGACAGGGTGTCATCACACAACGATCCCTCCCAGCCTTGCAGCCCAGGATCATGGACAGGCACATGTGTATGCACCAACATATTTCAGATCAGCTGTGCTCTGCAGCCTTCCGTGTGCCTCCGGGATCATAGAGCTGTGCCCTACTGAGTGGCTGGGCCAGTCCTAATAGCAACAGTGACCATGGTCAACAGCAAACACTGCCACCACCTCTGCTCCTCCCACCCTTGCCGCCAGCCTGGCTGGGGCCCTTGCTTTGATCAGTGGAATGTGGGGGAAGTGACCCTGGGCCAGTCGAGGGCTGAGGTCTCAAGAGGCCTGTGACCTTCCACCCTTGAGAACTGGGCCAGCCCGCCAGAGGATGAGAGGAGCATGGCTCAGTCGCTGCTGCCCCAGCTGAGACCCAGCCAACTTCCAGTCCTGTGCGTGAGGCCCCCATGCATGAGACCACGGGGGCAGACCAGCTCAGCCGAGATGGGCCCAACAGCTGACCTGTGGAAAGAGGCCCAAGCTTAATGGTCGTTTTCACCCTCTAAACTCGGAAGTGGTTTGTTACCGAGCAAAAGCTAACAGATACAGAAATGGCCCCGAGTATGGCCAGGGCACGAACACACACTCTTGGCATACTGTCTCACTGAGTTCCAACATCAGCCCAAACAGGTGGACACTGCTACAACCACATGGGGAAACTGAGGCTCAGAGAAGTTAAGCTACTGGTTCGAGTTTCTGCTGCAAGAAAGGAGCAGACTAGGGGTCAGAGTCAGCACTGTTGAACACCAGAGCCCACGGGAGAGTCGGGGGATCTGGGACCCTCAGGCCTTCCAGACACGTCTCCCTTGCTCCTTGCTATGAAACCCCACCCACTTAACTACACGGTTGAGGCCCTGGGGAAGCTGACCCACCCCCGCCTGGCTGGTTTCAAGGTGTCCCCAGTCCCCACTGGTGACAGCCTTAGGAAAGCCTGGGATGCAGATCAGGCCACTGTGATGGGGAGCCGTGCTGGTACACAGCTGCTCTTAGGAGGAAGATGCAGAAGGCTGCACCCTCTCCCCTCCTTCCGGCTTCCTGCCCTGGTACAGGAACCTCCCCAGGAACGGCAGAGATGGCTCAAACTAAGACACCCACCCCAGGCTGAAGCAGAAGCTATAGCAGCCCAGGGGAGGGGTGGGGCATGCCTCCTGCTGACCACAGGGTGGAGTCAACCTGCCCTGAAACCTCGATTCCCAAGCCAGTGACCGTGCCCCGACCCCAGACGTTCCGATCCCTGGTTCTGAGACACGCAGCCCAGAGCATCCTGACCCACACCGTCTCCTACCTGAGAGTCCTGGATAACGATCGCCACCAGGGGGCTATGGGCCGGGTTGGGGATCTGGTCCCACCATTCTTTCTTAATCCTGAAAATCAAAAGGAAGAGGAGTTGGTCAATACCCCTCCGTAAAAGCTGTCAGAGTCACTCATATTTATTAGGCATCGAAGACCATGCTGATTCGTCTTTGCTGTCAAAATCTCACTTTAAGTGGAGGAAATGGGTTCTGTCTCTAACCCCGTTCTGCATTTGAGAGACAGAGGCCCAACGAGGTGAAGTGACAGCTGGGAGGTGGCAGACCCGGTTCACCCTCGAGCAGCGTAACCCAGAATGGAGTTCCTGATGAGCCCACCTCGACCTCAGGGGGAAGGAGGCCCCAGGGGATGAGAGGAAACGAACAAACAGAGAGGACTCCAGGTGTCCCTGTCACAATCCTCTCATTCGAGCAACCCCAGGCAAGCTGTCAGGGAGGGCCTGGGACGGGTCCTTAGAGAGACAGATCGTTTCTCTTCCTGGTCTGCCTGGAGCCCAGTGTGGCACCTCTGGTCCTTGGGTGGCTTTTGGGTTAGCCTCTGCCCACCGTTCAGCCAACACCTACTCACTGAGCAACTGTTATGCACCACCCACGTTGCCCGGCTCTGGGGCTGCAGCGGTAGACAGACAGATGTCCGCCCTCGTGTGGCCAACCTTTGAGAGGGGCAGACAGACAGCAACGGGACACAGGAACGACTACGTGACATCATTTGTTTGTGGTAGTAAGTGCCATGGATAAAGGGGTGAGGAATCGGGGGTGAGGCCAGGCACAGCCTCTCAGAAGGGGAGAATTCTAAGCAGGCACCAAAGTTGATGGAGGAGGGGACCGTGGTGATGACTTGGGAGAGGCTTTCCAGACAGGGCACAGCATGTGGGAAGGCTGAGGAAGGCACGTGCTGGCATGTTCAGAGAACAGCCAGGAGGCCGGAGCGCTGGGCTGCTGGGAGCCGAGGAGGGGGGGAGTGCCGGATGAGTGGGAGACCAGCCCAGGCTGCTCCTGCGCACAGCGAGAGGATGTGGAGGGGGACCTGCCCTCCTGACACATCCTGGGAGCGCCTGGCCACGAATGAGTCCTTTTGCCATCATGCCAGTCCTCAGTGAGTTAGGTAAGGCCTGTGAGCCCTATTTCAGAGATAGGAAGACTGAGGCTCTGAGACGCCATGATTTCAAGGACTAGAACTCACTAGAAACAAGGTTCCTTCTTCTACCCTGCAGCTCCCTCCCACCCTAAATCTCAGTCCTCTGCCTCTTTTAGCTGATGAAATAAGTTCTCACCATTACTAACCCACAAAGAAGGAACCCCAGGCTCAGAGGCTAAGGGAGTGGGTGGTCACTGGCTATTAAGCACCAAGGCCAGGATTGCAGTCCAGACCTCCTGATCCCATCAGGGCATCATCTCAAATTCCCATCTCCTGCCACCTGGCCCCAGGTGCCTGCACCAGACCCCAGGCACCCAGGGAGTGAAAGTTTGTGGGACGACCCCATCTCCCTTTTGCCAAAGGAAGGCCCTTCTCCACCTCTTCCCATGGCCAGCTCTTTCTCCCCAGGCAGGTCTCAGCTCAAATGCCCCCTCCTCAGAGGCCTGCCTGGGCCTCCCATCCAAAGAACACCCCTAAACACCACCTCCGGTACTCTGGTCTGTCTGCTTCATTCCTGGGTCACTATGGAAAATTATGTGTTACCAGCTTACAATGTTTTCTGCCCCCCCGACCCCCAAGTGAGGTGCAGGTTTTAGGAACTGCTCTTGTTGGTCTTACTCTCAGCTGTAGTCTCAGTGCCTGACACACAGTAGCTACTCAATACATATTACTAAATGAAAAGGCTGTCGACTGACAGACCCGAAGGAGCCCTCCCTCCCACCCCACATGCCAGAGGAGCTGGCTGGGTGGCCGTGCCAAGGGCTGGCTGGGACTCACCTGACAAAGCTGTAGTAGAAGAACAGGCAGATGGCTGGGATGGCCACGCAGGAGATGCTGACGCTGAGTGGGAGGCGCTTCTCGAAGGGCAGGTCGTAGTCTGGGAGTGGGAGGGGAAGCCATGAGCCGGCATCGTGCTACGGGGTGGCCTGGGCTCCACGTCCCAGAGCTGTGGACCGAGGCCCCAGCAGAAATCAGCTGTTCTCACATGACATTATGGTGGCGGTATCACGAAATATCACTCACGCTCATCTACTTCCGAGCTGCACCACCGAGAGCTACCCCTTGGTCTTACTACGTAATGTTGATAATGAAGCCCATCCGTCCCTAGACTAACAGATGTTCAGAATGTTTTGTTTTTGTATTTTTGTTAATTGCCAGAGGGTGTGTGCACTCACCAGAGAGAGACAGAGACATAGAAAGAGGGAGAGGGAGAAAGCACCCCTCTGAGATCATTCGAACATCCCTTCTCCGCATCTCCTTCCTTTCAGGATTTTGGGTAAGCGTGCACATGCTCTTGGCGTGTTTCTCAAGCCGCTTGGTCTGAGACTTGAACTGCACAGTCGGCCATATGGGATCCAGCTGTCTTAGCCACCAGGCCATAGAGCCGGCCCTAGAACAACTCATTTCCTTTGTATGCCTATGTATTTTATGGGTTTAAAAATATTCTCTTGAGATGGGACCTGGCTTCATCAGACTGCCAGAGGTTTAAGTCACAAAGACAGTTAAGGGTCTTTGTCCTGGAGAATAATGGCGCCTCAAGTGGACAGAGCCCTAGTACCCAAGTTTCCACAGGGAGGAAAGTCACTCAACTTTCACAGTGGACTGTAACGTAAGTAAGAAAGACACTTCGACAGTGTTAACCATGGACATTGTGGGCTTCTTTGTTACACAGACCGACCTACCTGGCCGGAACAATACACCATCAAAGTGAAAAATGATTGCGTCATCGGCAAAGTCATGACATACTTTTCTATGTTTTTCTATGCCGAGATGCATCATGACTTGTCTGACAACCTAATAAATACCCCAGCAAAGGCATCCTATGATATGAAAACCCAGAGACTCAGCTAGAGGAAGTGTCTGGCCACAGAGTGAAAGTAGGGGACGGAGTTCTAACAGCTCAGGACTCAGATACTCACTGTTAAGCCACTTGGCGCTGGGACTCCACTCACTCCAGGTGCTGTTATAGCTCTGAGACCAGGCCCTGACCCGTGCACTGTAGGTAACTCCAGACTTTAGGGTACTGGCTGGGAGGCGAAGGGTAGGTACTAAGTAGGTCACATTATAGATTTTGAACTGGAAGAGGAAAGAGCGATGTTAGTGAATCAATCGGGGGTGAGGTGGGACACACCACTCCCATCCTGGCTGCTGTCCTTAGCTGACTCCACATATTTAAGAGCTACCAGCCTGTGTATACAGCTATGCCCCCAATTCAAGCCATGGCTTGCCAACTGTGACCAGGGTTGAGTGGATGAGTCAGGGCACCAGCCTTCATTCTGTCTTCTTCATCGACTAGCTATAGAATATTACTCAGAAAAATGGATTAATCATCTGAGTTTTAGTTTCCCCATCCATAAAACAAGAATAAGAGTCATTGGGAACCAGCAGTTAGCGTAATGGCTATGTCGCTGGACTCCCACGTAGTCGACCGTGGTTCGC